CCTCAAATTTGGATTCAGCGACCCCAAAAACCCCCCAGTACCGAATTTTTAATGAATCGAATCAAATTTAAATTTTTCCGCCATATTGGGTCCGCCATTTTGAATTTTTTAAATGCATCTTTTTTTTCTATTAACATACATCTAATAGAAATAAGATGGTATGAATGCGTGATTAACCTACTCAAATAAACGAAATTAAATAATATAATTTTTAGGTTATAGAAATCTTGTGTAGATAATAGCTGTGAGATTTTAACCTTTTGAAATTGGGGTAAATGGGGACAAAATCCCTATTTTTCGCAAATTAAGTAAGTTTCTTCCATTAAAAGGTTAATATTTAAGGGGTTTATTTTTTTTAAGTTGTTATTTACATTCCCAGGATTCATTTTATGTAGCAAAAAACAATTTAGATAAGCTTTAAACGCATGTATAACTGACTGTCCCCGTTTATCCCAAGATTTAGAAAATTTGCTAAAATTTGGGATAAATGAGGACAGCATATTTTCTAATAAAGATTTAAGAAAAAAGTTACCTTAACTATTTTACTGTATTAAGGGATGAAAAAACTTGAAAAAAATTTGTAATATGACGAACGAACTTCAAAAATTTTCTTATAAATTGATTAACCCCTTAACTGCTGATGACGACAATTTTGTGCGTCAAATCTTCGTCATCGCAGTTAAGAGGTTAAATTTGCTTGGTTTATGTCTTTTATTTATTTTTTTTTTATTTCAGTATTTTGTCTCGTATTTGAAAAAAAAACAGACTTAAAAATCATACAAAAATTTTTTCTTATTCCTTATCCTTTCCATAACAAAAAATCCACTTGAATTTTTGGTTTTTATCAATTTGGTTAATAGTAAGTAATAAGCTGTCCCCATTTACCTCGAGTTTTCAAATTCTTAGGGTAAATAGGGACAGCTTGTTATAATTATTATTAACCAAATAGACAAAAATCAAAAATTCAAGTGAATTTCTGTTATGGGGGAGTCATAAGGAATAAGAAAAAAAATTTTGTATAATTTTTAAATCTGTTTTCTTTGAAATGCGAGAGAAAATACTGAAACAGTTTGACTTTGATTTTTCTATATTTTTATAAATCCTAAAAAAATGACATGGAAAAAATGTTTGCCTAATAAAAACGAAAATTTCAGTGAGTTAAAATTTCAATGGTACATCTCCTGAAACATAAAACTATACCTATATGTAATTCAAATCTATAGCTATAAATTTTTATTGTTAAAATAAAGTAATGAAAAAATATTATGAATACTTGATAAAAAAAAATCTTCAAATTATATTCAATAAAATAATTTATGACATAGGTAATTCATTTGGCAAAAAAAAAACATTATATTTAGTTAAAATGGAAATCCCTCGAGAACTTTTATAATGTATATAAGATTCATTTCATATAAACATTGTCCGTATAACTATATATATGTATATGTGTTTATAATTTTCTAAGAGAAGAATATAATCCAAAATAAATAAGAATAAAATAACGCAATTTCAATAAAGGTTTTCCCCATTTTTTTCCCCCAAGAACGCCTCTTTTGCTAAATAAATAAACCGACCCAATTTCTCGGTTACAGGTTTTATGAAAACTATATATAATATTTCCATATATAGACAAAGCTTTATATTAAGGGATAATGATCATGTACAGGTATATATGATCATATGCTTATATATTCAAAAGAAAATGCAAATTATTGAAATCTTTAGAAAATATTTTCAAAATATAATTATACAAGTTTGAAAGATTATGAAAATAGTAAGTTTTTTTATGATCTGTGTATTATAATAAGTCTAATTTTCTTTGGCGAGACATGAAATTATCTTTCTTGTAAAATCAACATGTAGAAAATTTCTTCTTTTTTCTATGAGTTTTAGATTATATATACTAGAGGGGCTACGCCTCCCTGCAAGCTTCGCGTGCCAACCCCCCTATTTTAATCATTTTTTTTTAATTTTCCATTGATCTTATTTTTCCAAATGAACCACCTATTTCAAAGAATTATTATTACAAATTCATTGAAATCTGAATAAATATTATTAAAATTAAAATTATTAAATTTTAATTAATAAATTAATTAAATTAATAATAAATAAATAATTAAATAAATTAAAATCGACATTAAGAAATTAATTTTAAAAATAATTTCAATGAAATTGCCTAAAAATCAATAAATTATTAAAAAGTCTTGAAACGAACATAACCTTTAAATTCAAGTCATTTTTGGCGGAAACTCCACCTTCACTTGCGGCTATATTGAAAGTCTTGAAATTTACATAACCTTGAAATTTACATAACCTTAAAATTTATGGCATTTTTGGCGGGAAATACAGAGAGTGATGAGGGAAGGGGGAAGGACTTACTGCTTTATTTAGTCTTAAAACAAACATAACCTCAAAATTTAGGTCATTTTTGGCAGAGGAGGGGAAATGAGAGGAGGGAGGGGGGACTTGAGGCTATATTCAGAGCCTTGAAATGAACATAACCTCAAAATTTAGGTCATTTCTGGCGAGGGAGGGGACTTGCGGCTATATTCAGAGTCTTGAAACGAACATAACCTTAAAATTTAGGCCATTTTGGGGAAGGAGGAGAAATGAGAGGTGAAAGGGAAACGAACATAACCTCAAAATTTAGGAGGGGGGGACTCCCCCCTCCTAGGTCAAGAATTCTTGAAACAGCGGCGGCGGCGATATCTTTTTGTAATATAGGAAGATATATTTGACAATTTTTCTATGGCAAAAAGTGTATTTTGTGCAAGAAATTGCAATAAAATCGTCTGCCTAAAAAGAATTGAATTTTTTTGTCAATTTTTCTATGGCAAAAAGTGCTTTAATGGTGCTAATTGGGATCTTCCTCTACTCGTATCGGGCTGTCAATTTTTTTTCTAAACTTTTGGGTGTATTTTGTGCAAGAAATTGCAATGAAATCGTCTGCCAAAGAAGAATTGATTTTTTTTTGTCGATTTTCCTATGACAAAAAGTGCTTTTATATAATTAGATACAAAAAAAAACAAAAATAAAATTTTTTAAATTTTGTTTAATTTTTCGGGTGTATTGCCAAAGTAGGGTTACCTCCGATTTTAATAAAACTTGATATACTAACGTATTTTGGTGCGCTGATTACGAAAATGATAGTGAAAATTGGCGCAAATTTGATTATCATGTTAAAAATCAAAAAAAATATACCATAAAGTCATGGTTTTTGCGATTATCTCGTAGAAGAAGGCAAAATTTCAAAAAAATGTTTTAGATTTGTCAATTAGAGAAAATTTTGTTTTTAAGACATCAGGTAAAAACAGAGAGAAACTGTAAAAATTTTAATTGTTTATAACTTTACAAAAAAAATTTTGTTTTTCTATAACAGTTTCAGAAATTTATTTTGATTACTGTCAAAATAAAAAAAAATACGATTTAACATTGAAAATTAATTACTTTTAGAAAATTTTAGGTGATTCTTTTGAGAAATTCTAACCCTCTATATATGCGTATATATACTGGCCAATGAGAGATAATTGGTTCGAAAACAAACAGATCAAACGTATAGTTGCAATCATGCCACTGATTAAATGGGTTGATTAAACGCTTAATTTACCTGCGTATATGAAGTAATTTTGGTTTATGTGAAATCTATACTACAGTTGATCCCCGTACAGATATGTATTCATCTACCGAACTAATATAGTATATATATATATATATATACCATCATCAACCAAACAATTTTGGGCAATCCATAAAGCAAAATTATTTATACATGCCTCAAAACCTATCGATTATTATATATTTATTACAAACACGCTTATCGCAAGAGAAAGTTTAAAAAATTTCAACTTTCGTTTTACATTTAATAAACAAACTCATTAACATTGAATTGATATATTTTTATCAAATGGACATTAAAAAAATAATTATCTCAAAAAGAAAAAAAATAATGTCGAAGACAAAATTAATTAAAATTATTTATAATTAAAAAAATTATATTGAAAATTCATAAATTTTTTTCATTTAAAGTAAATGGATTTTTACTTTAAAAATAATTTAAGCAAATTGTTACAATATTTTAAAAACATATTTGTTTTCATGTTGTTTTTTTTATAATTGTTTTTACTTTTTATAATCTTACAAACGTTCACTGTCGCAATGTTGGACAATTTGTTTCTGAAAATTGTTCATAATTGTTGCAATTTGCAGTGTTTTTTTATAGATATTAAAGACACGTAAGTAGTTTATAAACATTTAGTTGAAAACAATAAATATGTACTCTACACTAAAATAAGAAACTGTAAAATTATAATTTTTGATGTTTTTGAATATTTTGTTTTTCACATTTACTAAAAAAATGTCGTTAGGTATATATTTTGAATTGTTTAATAAATTTTTAATTCAAAATTGGAATATACTCGCCATCTATTGACGATGACTTCAATTCAAACGTAGTTCATAAAAAAAAATTTCTACATTATCGACTAATAATAAGTTATTTTTTTTTTGAAAAAATGTTACCCACCGTCGGTAAAAATATTGTCAAGTACATGAGAGTATCACATCAAGAATTGAGGCGCATGATAACGTAGTTCTAACGCATTTGAATTTAATCGAAATTTATTATTATATTCAATTACTAGAATTTTTATTATTGAAATAATAATAATAATAATAATAATAAAATTATTGTAAAAGCCATTTTAGAAATTTTAAAACTGGAGTTTTTAATTTTTACAGAATGTAAAAATACTTAAAAGTTACATAAGATAAAATTAAAAATTTTACTACCTCAAAACGTTGTTAAAAAAATATAGAAAACAATTAAAATAAAGAATTTAAAAAACTAACATAATTCTAAAGAAAATTTTTAAAATATTTTTTTATGTAAAATGCATGCGAATTCAAAGATAAAAGGAATGCATTTCATATAAAAAATATTATTATATTTTCCTCGGAATTGTCAGTTTTTTACGTTCCTTAATATTTATTTCTATAGCTCTTAATTTCAAATGTTAATATTTTTGAAAACAAAGTTTTAAAGTAGTAAAATTTCTAATGTTATGTTTTACAATTGCGAATTATACTTCCTTTATACACTAATATAGTATATAATGTATATGATCCTAGAAAAACTGATTGCAAAGAAAGTAATACAATTCAAATAAAAAATTAAACATTAATTATTTCAATTTTATCCGGTCAAAAATCAAGTAAGAAAATTATAACAATTTCATATTTTCATAAATAAAAAGTTTAGAAAAATAAAAAATAGTTAATTATTTTTTTAATTACCTATTTTTTTACCAAAATCTGAAAGAATTATTTTAAATTTTAATAAAAAAAATATGTAAGGTAATTTAAATTTTTTTTAAATGCCAATTTTTTTTAATAAAATCTAAAAGAATTACATTTTTCAAAAATTATTTTTTATAATATTTAAATATAACTTTGTACGTCTTCATTGTAAAATTAACAAAAACTTAATTATTTAAAGAAAAACATGACTCTTGTAATTTAACATAAATTATGTAAAAGTGGTTAAACTTCAAGCGACTGTATCTTAAAAACTATTAAGGGTATGTGGGCGCAAAGGACGTTTTTTTGTGGTTTGAAACTTTCTCTGAAATAAAAAAATGATTTCGGGTTAACATTTTGGAAAAATAATTTAGTTTAGTACAAGGAATCTCGCTGTTCTACTCATTTACTATAACTTAACATAAAAATAATATAAATAAAGCAATAAATAGTAAAATAATTTAAAAATAATTTATGGTCAGATTTTAAAAATTCAAAATGGTGGACGCAATATGTCCACGGAATATGGCGGAAAAATTTAAAATTGATTCAATTCGTTCAAAATTCTGTACTTGGGGGTTTTTGGGGTCGCTGAATCTAAATCTGACATCAAATTTGGTTTCAGCAACCCCAAAAACCCCCGAAAACCAAATTTTGAACATATTTTATTTTTACAAAAATAATCAGTTACCTAACTAAATATTATCAGATAAAATATATATTTATATGTATCAAATAAACTACATTTAAAGCAATAATTTTTCTCGACTATCTTAACTGTACTGAAGGATAACATTTCTTAACGTCTAAAATTATGGTTCTTTTTCTGTTCATAGATTGTACAAAGACAAAGAGAGAAAACTAAAATTTTTCAAAATGTTTTATGACAATTTAGCCAATCCTATAGAAGCTGTGTATTTGATTTCTATGTACAGTTATTTTAATTCACTCAGCGATTTCCTGTATAGAAATAATTATTCATCCATCAATGACAGACACAAACAAATACCAGTGGTCAACGCTCTTTACAGATATTTAGATGATAATCGAGATAATCAAGACGATCTAATTAAAAGTTTATTGCAAGGCAGCGACTTGTACGGGGAACAATTTGGTGAAATTCCTGATGAAACTTTTGTGAATACAATGTTCGACTACATTATTACTTCTCTTGTATTTGACAAATATGGAAATATTTACGGATTTTTGGCAGATGTTGTTCGAAAATCTCAAGATTTACACATAGACTCTCTGCTGAAGGATATAAAGAGGAGACTTGAAAATATAATATTTGAAAATGAATATGGTGATACCTCGTCACTAACACCATTAGCTGTAGATCGAATATTTACAGATATAATATTACCTCTGTTTCCAAAACCTAAAACTAATATCAAATTAACGTCACTAGATTATATTTATGCACAAGCAGGTGCAATTTTACTTCGACCCGGTATACAAAATGCTACCTATTACAGTGTGCTAACTGAAAGAACGAAATTAAATAATAAAACTCTCTTTGACGAATATATATTAATAGGACATTTAATTGAAGAATTAATTATTGGCGAAAAATTTGGACAGTTTAATGCAACAGCTTTTGCATTGCCAGCGCTTTTCTTCTATGTTTATTTTGAAAAGGAGAAACTTGAACAAGAAAAAATAACAACCATAATATTTGATCCACAACACTGGCTTAAAGCTTATAATATCTTTCTTACACATCTAGATAAGACGTATGATAAAATTAGTTCTGCTTTAAAAACAGACACAAAGTTTAAACTCCATTACGAGCTTTCACAATTAAAAACACATCATACATACGCACGATATTTGGTAGAGGATAATGTGAATTGTAGAATAAAACCCGAAGAGGAGAAAATTGACAGAGTTTCAGCATATGAAAATAATCCGCACAATTTTGCATGTAAAATAGGTGACTATCTACCAGATATTAATGACTATTTTTTGTCCAAACTTAACACTGTAATTCAATCATATCAGCAATTCGAGAACAAATCAATCGCAAAAGTATTTGAAAATTATTTCCAATTATCGTTTCATTATACTGACGCAATTATCAAATTAAGAGACAATATTGTTGTTACTGATTTTTACGATCCGAGCATGCAATCAAATGATTTTCTTGAAATCTACTTCCCTGCAAATGGCACTACAAACTATTTTGTTGTAATACGAGAAGACTACAACCACAGAATAGATAAAGTTGACCATCTTCCTGACTCTTTACCACAATCGGATCGTCCTCCTATCAAAAAACAAGACGGAAAAATTTCTTTTACTCAACAGTTAAATGAAATTAGAGAAAAAATTATAAAAAACAAAAGTTCAAGACTAGAATCATTAATCTTATCCAGTCTAAACAACAAATTAAAACTTAATTGGTGGAAGGAATTTGGATTATCTTTGGTGCCGTTTTATCCATGTTTATCTGGCAAAATTATTGATAATGATAAAAAAGATCCATGTCAAGTATATACATTTACTATGTATCCTATTAATCTAGAAAATGATTTCATAACTTTAAATATAAGTCAAAAATACACTCAAGCTCTCTTGACGTCGATAGGCACGTCTATAAAAACATTGAGCCTAAAAAACTTACTGATAAAAATAATTGAAAAGGAAAAATATTTTGAATTAAAAAGCTTTGAAAATTACATCGATTATAAACGATTTTCAAACATTGTTAAAGATCCGTTGCAATTTAATCCGAATATTTTATTATCTTTATCCGATCCAAGTTACAATATTGCACTTGAGCGAAATAGTGTATTGGACATTTTCCGCGAAAACGTTAGAGATTTGAAAATAATAACTTTTTTGGATTACATATCCATTTTTAGTATGACATTAAATATTAGAGAATACAAAAATGATTTAACAGTGTTGTCAATTGGAAATTCCAATCATTCAAATTGGGAATTAAAAGTAAAGTCACAAAGTATATTTAGCAATTCCGGTTATGGTTATAAATTCATTTTTTTGAACGATTATAGTGTTGCGCATTTGAGAACTATTCCAGATTATGGCAACACCAGAACTGCATTGTTACTTTTAACTGAAATTATTTCAGAAACTACAAAAAAATTTATGATAATTAATGAGAGAACATTAACACGAACCACTGAATATGTGTATGAAAATGATGGTAAATTTCAATACCATTTGTATACACTTGGGTTTAGTGCCACACATATAGCTGATTATAATTTAATTGAATGTAACTATAAGGATCAGCCACGAAATCAATCAACTGTGTGTCGTAGAATAAAAAATAAGAATAGACAAAAATTAATTAAGAAAAATATTCTTGACATTTTTGTAAATGGCACATCACAACCTTCAAGAACTGTTTTACTTAATATTATAAAGAATTACATATTTCCGGATAAAAGTTTTGACATTAAAAAATTCGTTACAAAATGGAAAAGTGAAAATAATTTATCAAATCCCCAATTTTGGAAAAATTATGTAATAGAACATAAAGATGATTTTGTTAAATTAAGATATAAAACATGGTTAGGAAAAAAAAATTTATCATTGGCAGATGCAATAAATATGACAAATAAACTTTATACGCAAAAAGAAAGAATCATAATTGAAATGGAAACAACATTAATAAAAATAGTTGAAAATTATAACCTTGGAAATGAACGATTTTCTGCAACATTTGAAGATTATTATGCTATACGAAATTTTGCAACAACTGGCTACAAAAGAATAACAGGTGACACTAATGAAGCAAAACGAATGAAAATTGCTTTATATAATTTAGCAATTAGACAGTCTGAGGATCCACCGAGAGATTTTGATTTAAATTTAACCACAGTCGAATCCATAAGTAGAAAATCTGTAAGAAAACTGTTTTATAATGATGATACATATACATTACAAAAATTTACTTTCGCGGCATCACCTTCTGTGACTAACGCAAATTCAATTCTCAACAAAAAAGATGGTTTTGAGAATGTTTTGTTTAAAATGTCATTTTCAAAACCTTATTTAAGAGCAAAAATAAAAAAGATGTTCTACATATCTTCAAATCCAAAACTAACATCAATTCTTTTACCTGGTACTAAATTTTCAATTGAGAATAAAGAATATGCAAATATAACTGGATTGGGAACGGTTCTGCGAATTAAATTAAAATGTATCCAAGCAACTAATGAGAAATACAAATGGTACAAGAAGATTATGAACGCTATCTCGGAAATTTCATTATAAATCATAAATATATTTGTATTAACATCTTCTAAATTATTTTTGAAAATTGAAGTTAGAGGTTATATAATTATTATCTTGCACTGAAGATAATTTTACCTTATATTTTTTCCAATAATAATTATTTTGAAATGAAATAAATGTATGTAAACAATAAAATTCCTGAAAAAAATGTTTCTTTCCAAATATACACTGTTGTAATTTTTTCAGGTATTCAATGAAATACATAAAATTTTCGATACCAGTTGCGATACAGTTTTTAACGCTCTAGAATAAAAATTTATTATTAAATTGAATTTGAAATTTCTTTAAAGAATATTTATTTATAGTTTTTTGAAATTAAGAATTTAGAGTTTAAGTAAGTTATTATTAAAGTAACCTCTGCGTCGCCATGTGTGCAGATAAAAACAAAAGTAAAAAATCGTTAAAATTATATAAAATGATTAGTAAAACTTTCATAAAAGTTAATAGTTTTTACATGTGCACATAAAATGTTATGTTTAAATTATTGTTAAGAAATGCGTATATTATGTACTTTTCATGATGTGTTGTCATAAAAATAAAAGAAATGAAGATAAATATATATGTGTAATATTTTTTAAAAATATTTAAGATCACAAAGTAATTTTGTACCCTAAAAGAATGCAAAAGATGATTACATATACTAACTAATACCATTCAAATCATAAGTTAGAGATCAGTAATTTTGAATTAACCCCTTAAAAAATCAACATTTTATGAAGCAATATGTCAGGTGAGAAAATTATAATAATTTTTGTTTTCTTATAGAAGAAACTTTTTAGTCATGACAATTTTCGATTTTTCAAGAATCAATTATTTTTATCTAAAAAATATTTACGAAATTTTAAACAAACGTCCAGATGTCTATATATATATATATATGTAACGCTTTTTTCTGGACAAAATATCTCGAAAACGCTTTGACCGATTTTTTAATAAAATTTGGCTGAAGTTATTATCCTTCTTATTATATTAAGTTGAAGAACAACCGACACCACCACAAAATGTTCGTTTTTTTAAAATAAATTATTTAGTTTTTATTCAAATTTTAAATTTACATGCATAACATACATATGGGTGATTACGCGTGAAGTGATCAAAGTTCAAAATTTCGGGACGCATGATTATGCACCACATGTCAATTAACCGAACAGTCATTTAACAGAATTGTCAAATAACAGAATTGTCAAATAACAGAATTGTCATTTGACCGAAACATCACTTAACCGAATTGTCATTGAACCGAAAAGTCAGTTAACAGAATTTTCAGTTGACATAATTGACAATTAATAGAATTGTCTTTCGACTGAACTTACATATTACCGAAATGTCAAATAACCAAATTTTTTTTTAGTTTTAGGATAATTTTTAAAAACAATACTCAGCTTTTATTTATCACAGAAGAATATTTCTATGGTTTTGACTCGAAAAACCCCCGGGTGATGATTTTCAAGCGAATATATTAATTTTTGATTATAGTGCCCTCTAGATTTCCTTTACCGACAAAACTATATACTCCGTAAAAAGTGAACTCACATTCTAAAATGGTGTCGATTAAATGACATTTCGGGTTAAAGACAATTCTGGTAATTGACAATACGATTTATTGAAAATTTCAATGAGAATCAATCACATTTAATTTTTATTGTCAATAAAATAATTTTACTAATCTTCAATAATTCAAATTAAAAGTGTTAATTTTTATCAATTTTAGTATGCTTATTAACATTAAGGGTAATAAAGTTCTTTCGATAAAATTAGAAATCAGACCACTACTTTACGGGGCTCATAAATTTCCCATAAAAATTAATGGCTAGTATTTTCATTTTAAAGAATTTTATCAGATATAATTATTTTTGAGTCGAATTCTCATTTTTTTTTTAATTTTACATTTGACAGAATATTAATTCAGAAGAATAATCATTATTAAACTGAATTTTAAGAGATTCAAATTTTTAATTCCCCGATATTGCAATTCACCTAATCTTTATTTGTGACAGTCCCCGAGAGAAGGGACCTTAGCTCACCAAAACGAATTTCACAGGGCAAGCGTTTGAAGAAGAAGCAGAAACGCGGAACTCGAAGAGTGGGGCGGAACTTCTGAAAAGTTCCCCCACCACACTAACACAACGTTGTGTTTCTGTATACGTGAGCTTCGTCTACTTCGTGTATCTTCGGGTCTCACGTACGCGAAGCTCACGTACGCGAGAGTATAGTTGTGTAAGTAAAGTAGTGGGGCTGATTTCTTGAGTGCCATAATCCGCCTCGAAATGCGCTTGACATACCCATCTTCAAAATGTTATTGTGTCAAAAGCAATTATCCTAATCAGTTTTTGACTTTTGCATGTGAAAAAGCAATTCAAAATCTATCATTTACCATATAAAACTCAATATTGACCTCTGGTGAGCTAAGGTCCCTTCTCTCGGGGACTGTCACATTTGTTTGAATTTTTATTTGCACGAATTGTTATTTGAATGAATTCTTAAACCGCCTAATTTCCATTTGCCCAACATTGCAACTTTTTAGAGTATTTCTGATTGATTAGATATTTTTAAAATTACTGATTTGTGTCGTGACTCACTACTATATAGAAACAAAGTATAGCATACGACTGATGATTTTGTTTTTATATTAAAAAATTAACATATTTTAATAATTCTGTGGTAAATGAAAGTTCTTTTTATTAAGTTTCAAATCATTAAAATTAGAAAAGTAAAATTTGTTTTTCGAAAATGTCTCTTACGAAATGTTTCTTTCCACTAACACAGCGAAAATTATTAAACACCAGTGCACAGCATTTCTCGTTTTCTAAAATTATGGGTCTTATTCTGTTTACAGATTGCACAAAAAATAAGGAAGAAAACTAAAATTTTTCAAAATGTATTATGACAATTTAGCCAATCCTATAGAAGCTGTGTATTTGATTTCTATGTACAGTTATTTTAATTCACTCAGTGATTTTTTGTACAGCAACAATTATTTATTCATCTACGACAGACACAAACAAATACCAGTCGTTAACGCTCTTTACAGATATTTAAATGATAATCGAGATAATGAAAACGATCTAATTCAAAGTTTATTGAAAGGCAGCGACTTGTACGGGGAACAATTTGGTGAAATTCCTGATGAAACTTTTGTGAATACAATGTTCGACTACATTATTACTTCTCTTGTATTTGACAAATATGGAAATATTTACGGATTTTTGGCAGATGTTGTTCGAAAATCTCAAGATTTACACATAGACTCTCTGCTGAAGGAAATAAAGAGGAGACTTGAAAATATAATATTTGAAAATGAATATGGTGATACCTCGTCACTAACACCATTAGCTGTAGATCGAATATTTACAGATATAATATTACCTCTGTTTCCAAAACCTAAAACTAATATCAAATTAACGTCACTAGATTATATTTATGCACAAGCAGGTGCAATTTTACTTCGACCCGGTATACAAAATGCTACCTATTACAGTGTGCTAACTGAAAGAACGAAATTAAATAATAAAACTCTCTTTGACGAATATATATTAATAGGACATTTAATTGAAGAATTAATTATTGGCGAAAAATTTGGACAGTTTAATGCAACAGCTTTTGCATTGCCAGCGCTTTTCTTCTATGTTTATTTTGAAAAGGAGAAACTTGAACAAGAAAAAATAACAACCATAATATTTGATCCACAACACTGGCTTAAAGCTTATAATATCTTTCTTACACATCTAGATGAGACGTATGATAAAATCAGTTCTGCTTTAAAAACAGATACAAAGTTTAAACTTCATTTCGAGCTTTCACAATTTAAAACATTTCATACATACGCTCGATATTTGTTAGATGATAATGTGCATTGTAGAATAAAACCCGAAGAGGAGAAAATTGACAGAGTTCATGCGTATGAAAATAATCCGCACAATTTTGCATGTAAAATAGGAGACTATCTACCAGATATTAATGACTATTTTTTGTCCAAACTTAATACTGTAATTCAATCATATCAACAATTCGAGAACAAATCAATTGCAAAAGTATTTAAAAATTATTTCCAATTATCATTTCATTATACTGACGCAATTATCAAATTAAGAGACAATATTGTTGTTACTGATTTTTACGATCCGAGCATGCAATCAAATGATTTTCTTGAAATCTACTTCCCTGCAAATGGCACTACAAACTATTTTGTTGTGATACGAGAAGACTACAACCACAGAATAGATAAAGTTGACTATCTTCCTGACTCTTTACCACAATCGGATCGTCCTCCTATCAAAAAACAAGATGGAAAAATTTCTTTTACTCAGCAGTTAAATGAAATTAGAGAAAAAATTATAAAAAACAAAAGTTCAAGACTAGTATCATTAATCTTATCCAGTCTAAACGACAAATTAAAAATTGATTGGTGGAAGGAATTTGGATTATCTTTGGTGCCGTTTTATCCATGTTTATCTGGCAAAATTGTTGATAATAATAAAAAAGATCCATGTCAAGTATATACATTTACTATGTATCCTATTAATCTAGAAAATGATTTTATAACCTTAAATATAATTCAAGAAGACACTCAAGCTCTCTTGACGTCGATAGGCACATCTATAAAAACATTGAGCCTAAAAAACTTACTGATAAAAATAATTGAAAAGGAAAAATATTTTGAATTAAAAAGCTTTGAAAATTACCTCGATTATAAAAGATTTTCAAACATTGTTAAAGATCCGCTGCAATTCAACCCGAATATTGTATTATCTTTATCCGATCCAAGTTACAATATTGCACTTGAGCGAAATAGAGTATTGGACATTTTCCGCGAAAACGTTAGAGATTTGAAAATAATAACTTTTTTGGATTACATATCCATTTTTAGTATGACATTAAATATTAGAAAATGCAAAAATGATTTCACAGTGTTGTCAATTGGAAATTCCAATCATTCAAATTGGGACTTAAAAGTAAAGTCACAAAGTATATTTAGTAATTCCGGTTATGGTTATAAATTCATTTATTTGATCGATTATAGTGTTGCATATTTAAGAACTATTCCAGAATATGGCAACACCAGAACAGCATTGTTAATTTTAATTAAAATTTCTTCAGAAAATGAAAAACAGTTTAAGGTAATTGATTCGACAACATTAAAGGAAACTAACGAGTATGTGTATGAAAATGATAATGAACTACAATACAATATGATTAACCTTGAGTTCAATGCCACATATATAGCAGATTTCAATTTAATTGAATGTAGAAATGAGACTATTTTGTCTAGTAAATGTCCAAGAATAGAAAATAGAGAAAAACAAGAAGAAATTCAAAATAAAATTTTACGCATTTTGCGAAATAACACATTAAATTATGAAGAAAATCACATTCATATGTTAAAATTACTGTACATACTTGAGAATTATATTTTTCCTGATGAAAATTTTGACATAGAAGAATTTGGTAGAAATTTGAAAAGTGAACAGAATTTGCTAAGTCCACAATATGGAAAAGAATATATAATGGAACGTAGAAATGATTTTGTTAATTTAAGATATAAGGCATGGTTAGAAGAAGACTCTTTATCTTTGGAAGATGCAACAAATAAGATAAATAAACTTTATACGCCAAAAGAAAGAAGCAGAATTGAAATGGAAACAATATTAACAAAAATAGTTGAAAATTATAACCTTGGCAATGAACGATTTTCTGCAACATTTGAAGATTATTATGCTATAAGAAATTTTGCAACAACTGGCTACAAAAAAATAACAGGTGATACTAATGAAGCAAAACGAATGAAAATTGCTTTATATAATTTAGCAATTAGACAATCTGACGATCCAGAAAGAGATTTTGACTTACATTTAACCACAGTTGAATCCATAAGTAAAAAATCTGTAAGAAAACTGTTTTATAATGAAGACACATATACATTACAAAAATTTACCTTCGCGGCATCACTTGATGTGACTTTGGCTAAAACAATTACGGGCAAGATAGATGGTTTTGAGAATGTTTTGTTTGAAATGTCATTTTCACAACGTTACATTAGAGCGAAAATAAAACAAATGTTCTACACATATAATCCCATGACAACATCAATTCTTTTACCTGGCACTAAATTTTCAATTGAGAATAAAAGTAACTCGACAATTACTGGATTGGGTAATGTATTACGAATTAAATTAAAATGTATTCAAGAGGCTAATGATAAATACGAATGGTATCAGAAGATTATGAATACTATTTCGGAAATTAAATTATAAATCAACTCTATATTGTTAATATATATTATGAATTAATTATTATTATTATTTATATTTATTATCTTAGATTGAAATCTTTTGATAGAATTAATTAATTCTTCTCTTGCACTAAATATTGCAAATTATCTTGCACAAATAATAATTTCACATATTACTACACATTGAATTTTTTTCCAATAAGAATTAAATTAAATATGATATAAATATATGTAAGCAGTAAAAGTTTCTTTAAAATTTATAGTTTGATGACAAAATATTCCATTTGTGTTAAAATTACTGTAACCAAATGTATATTTATGTACTTTATGATATGTTATGAAAATAAATAAAGATAATAAAATGTGTATTATATTTGTGTTAGTATATTTTCTTCTCCGAAAACTAGGTTTAGAAGTTATAAAACCGTATATTTTAAAAGACTACAGAAACTGATTATACTATTAGAATTCAAATTACAAAGGACCCCGCACAAAATGCATTGATTTTGGTTCTCGGTCAAAATGGCTGGTTTTTGGATATGTTTGAATGAAAAGATGGATGGATGAATAAATAAAGGAATGAATGAATTATTCATTTAATTAATGAGTGAATCACGGAATGAATAGATGGATGGATGGATAATCGGTTTTTCTGTGTATTTTTTAACTGATTATCTTCCTCCCTGCGAATCTATCTATCCATTTGGCTATATGCTTTGGTTTCCATTTTGTCTGATAAACTACTTATCTATCACTCCATTGCCTATCTGATCTCTCTAGCTGTAGATTCTTCCAGTTTTCTCTAGAACCATACCGCACGAGTTTTCAACCTTTTATGGCTGATAACATTAAAAGTTATCATTTTTTTGAATTTTGATAGAGGAAACATTTATTCAGAATTACTAAAACTACAACATAACCAAAAACCAGCCATTTTGACCGAGAACCAAAATCAATGCATTTTGTGCGGGGTCCTTTGGAACTGAATTATTAAAATTATTTTAATTTTATTCTTAAAGCTGCAAATTTTTTTTAGCCAATATCAGGTAAGAAAACTGATATTTTTTTTTAATATTATACAATGTTAACTTAAAAATGAGTATTTAAAAAATTGATTAATATTTTAAATTATGTTGGTTTTAATTTTATGATATTTCAATTTAGAGTTTTCATCTTTCGTGAGCATTGTTAAAATGTAAATATTATAGATAACAGTAGAAACACGTGTTTACAAAATGTATTATTTTAAAAAAAAACACACATGACATTCGAAATAGAATTTGTGAGTTAAAAAATTATGAATAATGATACGTGAGCATTTTAATATAATAATAAAATTATTTTCTTAAAAGGTACTTATTTAGGTACTAAATAAAATAAAAGAAGAATATTAATTTTAGTATTTTGAGATAAAACTTGCATATTATTATGTAATCAGCACGATTTTTGAAAGTTTCATAAAAAAGAATTTTTATTTACGACAACTGTTCTTTTATCGAATTATTATTTATCAAAATATTCACTTAACAATATTTTTAATTTAACATACCTATTACCTTTTAACATTGATAGCATTCTCTAGTATAGGAAGTATCTAGATAACTTTTTTTTTTAAATTAATTTACAATCCAATTTTGATTCCGCAATAAAATTTAAAAATACATAAAAAATTCCATAATCCTTTCTGTTCGCAGATTCTGAATAAACTAAGGAACTAGGAAATATTGAATTTAAGAATAAAAATTGTCAAAATGGGTGTTGTGCATTTAGCCCATCCTATAGAAGCTGTGCATTTGATTTCTTTGTACAGTTACATTAACTCACTCATTGTCAGCGATTTTCTATTGATCGTAAATTATTTATCAAGTTAGCTGCAGATCGAATATTTACATATATAATATTACCTCTATTTCCACAACTCAAAACTAATCTCAAATTAACGTCGCTGGATTATATTTATGCACAAGCAGGTGCAATTTTACTTCGACCCGATAGACAAATGCTGACTATTATTTTACTAAAAATATTTTTTTATAATTTGTTGATTAATAAAAACTGATAAAAACTACACGATATATATTTTTTAGGCAAAAAATTATAGAATTTTTCATTTTAAAAAATTATTTCTTTAAAAATCGTTTATCATAAACGTTGCGTATACTTCAGCTTCGTGTAACAGTATACAAAAAGTATGTATTTTGAGCTATTATGATTCATTTTGATCTTTCAATTTTTTTGAACATATATACTCTCAGAAATGGACATCCAAAAAACGTCATTATTAAGATAGTACGTCCACATTCGTCATGATAATAAAAAAATAGATAAAGAAGTAGAAAAAATAAAAATTATTTATATGAAAAAAATTTCCATAAAAGTTTATAGATTTTGCACGCGCACATGTGCTACATATGATAAAAATTTTTTAAAAATAATAGAAGATAAATAAGTGCTTTATATATGTGTAAAACTTTTTTAAAAAAATACTAAAAAGTTCAAAAAGTAATTTATATATACTACAGAATACTGTGAAAGCTGTTTACATATATACTACATACATTTTAATATCCAAAATCAGGTAAGAAAACTAGTGATTTCATATTTTTATAATTTATAAATAAGGCATCTTATTCCTGAATCGACACAGTCAAAAATTAAATTATTGAATATTGACTTTGTAACATTGGTAAATTTTAATTTATTTGTATTATATTGCGCACTTTGGATAGAAATACAGTAAATTTGATACACACAGAATAAACTGTAAGGGAGAGTCGGTAGTGGCGAGACACGTTTTGTTTTTTTGTTATAGCACTCACATTTTCAAGAACATCAAGTCTGTATATATATCCATGGACAGGTGTGACTCTATACTGCAAATTTAACTTATACAGTTACAGAACAGATATTGGAAAAAAAAGTTATTGCCGATTTACGATAATGTCTCGCGACTACCGACATAAAAAATCGTCCGTAGTGGCGAGACACTATCTTAAAATCAGAGTCTTTATCGTTCAAACGTAACAAAAACAAAGGAATCAAAGAGAAAGAGTATAATAATTGATGCCTTTAAATCATAATATTGTTTCATTCAATCATAAAAATACAGGCAAATATTTTTCTGATTGTGAGCCGCTAATCCATGTCACAGTTATTAAAAACAAATAAGCTTTTCTTCCTGTTCATCTTTTTCAATTTAAACTATAGTTATGAAAAATATTGTCGACAAAACGTACAAAAATTATATCAAATTCATTAGGACATGTACAATATTATTAGATATTAAAAAGCCACTGCCGACAACAAGTGTCTCGCCAATGCGGAAACAGCATTTTTCGGTAATGACGATGTACAATCCTATGCATCGAACAATAACACAGGCCTACAAATTTTAGACCCAGAAATCGGAATAGTCATTTTCGATGTAATTTGTCACGCTAAATCCAAAAATGACAAGGAAATTACTCTATCACGTCAGCATTTTGAGATATTCTAACCTAAAAGCGTGAAAAATGAAGTTTTTGGTAATATTTGACACTCTATAAAACCGACAAAAATTTTTTTTAATCATTGGTCCAAATTTCAAAAGAAAGTATTATATTTCCCCTTTCAAAATTTTCTTGGCTTGATCTGATCCAATTTTTTTTCTCTGAGATACAGCCATTTGCGTTTTACATTGCATGAACTCAAATCCCTTTAAAAAAGAAAAATAAATTGCGAAGTACTCATGGCACTAAAAATTGTTACTCAGGGGGTTTTAAAATCGCTAATTACGAATGTGATATCAGATTCAAAAATCTGACATTTAATTCGTAATCAGCGACCCTAAAAACCCCCAAGTAATGAATGACAAGCGAATTCGGTAAATTTTTTAAAAATTGTCCGCCATATGGGATCCGACATTTTGAAATTCAAAAATCTGACGTCAGATTCGTAATTAGCAACCTCAAAAATCCCCGAGAAATAAGTTTCAGTGATATGAGTACTTTGCAATTTATTTTTCGTTTTGAAAGGGATTTTAGTTCATGTAATGTAAAACTTAAATGATTGTTTCTCAGAGAAAAAAAATTGGATCAGATCGAACCTAGAAAATTTTGAAGGGGGAAATATAATACTTTCTTTTGAAATTTGGACCAATGATTAAAAAAAATTTTTGTCGGTTTTATAGAGTGTCAAATATTACCAAAAACTTCATTTTTCACGCTTTTAGGTTAGAATATCTCAAAATGCTGACGTGATAGAGTAATTTCCTTGTCATTTTTGGATTCAGCGTGACAAATTACATCGAAAATGACTATTCCGGTTTCTGGGTCTGACAAAATCCAAAATTTTGTAGGCCTGTGTAATTCATAGTGCTCTGGAAATTTTGAAGGAAACTTAAATACTAAAGACTCAAAACATTTAACCCTTCAGAAAATTCCGGAAATTTTTATATATTATCACTTATACCGATGGGAAATAAAACTTCTAAAATATCTTGAAACTGTTATTATCAGTATAGCGATATTTCGTACATCAAAAACGTATGTATCATATTGAAAAGTTAAAGCACAATAAAACTAGACTTTCAGACCAGAAGTGCCAGCACAGTCAGTTCAGCTGTCTGAAATATCCTAATGTCTCGCCACACCGGCTGTCTCGCCACTGCGGACAACGCCTTAACTTAAAATCATATCCAAACGATACACGAAAAATAATTTTTTACGTTAAGGAGGTTCTGTTGCATGTTTAAGATAGGAATCCGATTGGAATCCTATGTTAATTGTCCCGGTAAGAAACGAATAATTGAAAAGAATTTAGATTTCCAATTCTTTTCCCAGTAAAAAAGGATTTTTTGAGATAGCAGTTCGGACAATTGAGCAAGCCGTTTGCTCAATTGTCTAAAATGCATTCGGACAATTGGAGTGTTTGTTCAATTGTCCAATGCATTATACCCAATCATCCGCAATATTTCTCCTGTCTAAAAAGCTGCTAAAATAATATGAAAAACTATTGAAACATTGAAAAAACGTTAGAAAATGCATAATTCTTGATATATACAGAAAAAGAAAGTATAAAAATACATCGATCGAGGAAAAGGAAAGAGTTTTCCGAAAAATCACTTTTTAACTGACAGTATACTGCTGTACTTGACATTTTATGGGTAAAGAAGAGAAGATTATGATAATGAGAGACACTTCATTATCGACTCTCAATATTTGTTGAATGGTAAAATATAATAGTAGATTTCTTTCTGATTTTTTAAAAAAGGAATTATTATTGAATTAATTGAATTAAAAATTTTCTTACTTTTATATTTCATTTATTGTTATGTTTTTATTATATGTTTATATTTTTTTAGTACTAATTTAAATATTTTTATTTAAATTTTAATTAAATTAATTAAATAAAAATTAGTTTAATTATTTAAAATTACTTTAATTATTTGAAATTATTTAGTACATAAGTATAATTATAATTATATATTATTAATAATATTAATAATTATAATAAGATGAAAATTACACTGAAACAACAATTTTCTCAAGATTACGAAAAAAACCATTTGAGTATATCTGAGGCACGGACGTTGTGAAGCTAGGTGGGAGAAAGAGTTGAGCGATTGGACGGTCACATCTTGGAAAGGGTAAAATTATGAAATCATACCCCCACCAGAGGACAGAGACTAGGTCTTTTACCCCTTTCCACACGGAACATTGCCTCAGATATACTCAAATGGTTTTTTTTCGTAATCTTGAGAAAATTGTTGTTTCAGTGTAATTTTCGTTTTATTATATAATTATTAATATTATTCATATTATTAGTCAAATACGGTGTCAGGCTGTAGTTTTATATATGAATTTTCCATTTTCACATAGAAAAAGAACAATTTTTATTTTCCATTTAAAAAAAAGGCTGTCGCAAATTTGTCAATAATTACGTACATTTTCATGTTTGTTTACATTTGACGAGTTGCACCTGGCCTTAAGAGCAAGTTCAAGTTGTGAAATGGAAAGAAACTATATGGAAATTTTTTGGCCCTAGTCATTTGAATAAATTTTATTTTAAAATGTATAATAAAAATAAAATCGTACTAGTGCGAGTTAAACGAAGGGAACTTAATTTCTATAAATATGCATGTATAAAAAACAAATATATAAATATAAACAATTTTGTAGAAAATTTTTATAAATTGTTCCATTTCGTATCGCTTACATTATTTGACATACAAAGCTTATATTATATATTTTTTATACATGTACATTCATATACCGCAAATAAATAAAAAGTATCGTCTATAGAGCATATTGACTTTATTGTAAAAAAAAAAATTATTTAATATTTTTTATAGAAAATCATGTAATTATAATTTATAAAACATATATCACTGACCTTAGCTTGAAACCGATATATCGTAGATCCTAGATTCGGAAAATAAGATTTGCTGGAAACCCACACACAAACAAACTCACGTATTAAAAAAATTTCGAACACTTCTGAAATCATATTAACTTTATAAAGATTTATACGGTCGCCATTTTAAAATTTTCAGACTACTGAAACAAAAAATTATATATTATACAAATTAAAAAAAAATTTCAAAATTTTATTGTTCACGAATTAAAAGATACGAGCACTCCCGAAAAGATTCACTTCAATAATGTGAAAATATCAAACAAAAGATGATAAACAAAGTATTATGTTCAACAGGGCCAAAATTTAATTTTAATAATACAAAAATTACACCTTCATGAACCACGTCTAAACAGGTCAATGCACGAATTGCAACTGATTGATTAGCTTTATTATTTGGCAATCACATTGTTTTGACCTTCGGCTTAAAAGTTACCTTTTGTTCTTCTATGTCAATATACATGTTGCTATGCAGGTATAAAAATAATTTCAAATTTTTTTAATATTTTCAAATTAAAAATAATACAAATTATTATAATTTTTAAATTTAAATATTATTTCCTACATATATGAAGGAATTCAGGTGAAAAAATAGTTGGTAATGTTTTTTTTCGCCAATCATAAAAAAAGTTAAAAAAAAAAAAATTTTGCCTCAAACATATAAAAAATAATGAAATATATAGTTAAATGATTAAAACAATAAGATTTATGTTTTTTATAATGATCATTGTTAAATAATTATAAAAATTTTATGTTTTTATTAATTTCAATGTATTACAGTTTATTATGAACATTTGTTGATAAAATTATTATAGCCGCGCTTTGTAGAAGTTAGGAAGGTACCCTGCCAGGGGCTCTTCTCGGAATTTTGCATAATCTTGATAAATAATTATTGAAAAAAATGTTTAAACATTGGCAAAAAGGGGTTTCGTAAATTACTTCTCATCTTTAAAGGATAAAGTATTTCGAGTTGGCATTTGGAGGAATAATAGAGAAAGGGTCACTGAGTTCATCACTCTTCTCCATTTTTGCAATAATATTGTGAGGAAATTATTTTATTAAAGATTTAAAGTGGAGTAATTTGGGGTAAGTTAGTTCAGCAGCGGCCACTAGCTAGAATTGGCGCCACCTTCTGGGCCACTGACACATAGATTCAATGTCTGTCCCCACTTCTGTCAAAAATCC